AATCAAGTACATATTACCTACAGTTAAGATAGAATATCATGCTTTCCATGTTTGATGAGACTAAAAAAATTGTCGCCTGCTTATTTCCTTTTGCAAAAGGGATATCATCAGTAAAATGGATTATAGTCAAACTTCACATTCACTCTCACTTGAAGCTGTGGTCTCACCAAACACATTCTCTGTCTCTCTCTATCTCACATATGGTTCATCTGGTGTCCTCACCCTAAACATCCTTTCCACACAAGCATCTGAGCATGCAGTGCTTAGGGTTCCATTTCTGAGCAACAGCAGCTTGTGTGACTGCCAGGCCCTAGTTTCCAGCTCTCCAGTGCTTCCAGTCACATGGTGTCTGCAGGATTGCCATGGTATACTAGCTGTATGTCTCTCAGGTGCCTTCATGTCCCAGGGCATTCAAATCCTGGCACTACCTGGAAGGGTTGGAGAAGAACCAAATTGGAATGCACACCAAACATCATACAATCAGAAATGCACATCTGTTTTAAATAATTGTTATGGAATCCATGTATACTTAAGGACAATATTCACTGATTAAAAGGGGAGAGATGTTAATGGCACTAATAGATGCAAATGACCTACATGAAAATGGAAGACCCAGAAAGGAAGTGGCCTCAAACCACTTGTTAAGTTCACCATGGGAGATGAAATCTCTGATGCCAAAACTCCAGCCAGTGCTGCGCCAATCAGACAGCCTTCTGTACCTTGCTTGGCTTCCACTTCCTTGGCCTCATGCAGCCTGCTACTCTCAAAAGCATCTGGAAATGTCTGATGTGACACCCACTGACCCATCCCCTCTCATCTGGCCTGAAATCTGCCTCTACAGGAGTCCAGCCACCTGCACATCTCGGTTAAGTGGTACTGGTAGAAGAACCTCAGTGTCTTTCACAGGATTCCCTGTGACAGTTTGGCTCTTCAAGTGAATGAACTACTATTGAGAGTTCATTTTCCATCTCTACACTAAAGAATCTGTAAAAGAGTTTCAGCATAAAATGATACAGAATGAATGAAATTCCTTACAAAATACTAGACACAAAATAAGGCAACAGTAAATGTTCGTCGCCGAGGGGTACAAGGCAAGATGGCAGAATGAAAGTTTTCACCATCAGACCCCATGAATAAAAGTCTGGATAAGAAAGGTCTACCTTCAGGAGAACAAAAGAAAGGAAGAGCACTGAGGACCACAAAAGAGGGACAGGATGGTGGAAAACTGCAGCAAAACAGAAAAGTGACAGAACAAATTAAGAAACAATTTGCAACTCCAGCCCCAGCTCCCCCTGGGGTAGGAGAAACCAAAACCTCAATTCTAAGAACTGAGGAAAAGGTTGATGCAGGAGACATCAGCCTTTGAAATAATCAGTGTCTCAAGAGCATGCTCATAAATGCCAAAGTAAGACTGGGGTTGGGGGAAGAACAGCAGCTGTCAACTCCAGGAGAAGTTATGGAGCTCAGTACCCAACCCAGAACACCCACAGATTCTTTGTACCAGGACAAAGAAGTTATCTGGGGCATGAGGCAGCAGCTGCCATGGTGGTGGTGGCAGCTGCCACAGCAGCAGGTGAGGCTATGGGGACAACAGGTCCTGTATGAGTGGTTGGTACCTTAGAGAAAGGGTGTAGAAGGGTGAATATGGTGCAAATATTGTATACACATGTATGTAAATGAAAAAATGAGACCTGTTGAAACTATTCCAGGAATGGGGGAGGGGGGATAAAGGAGAATGATGGAAGGGGTGAACTGAGCTATGATATATTTGATATATTATAAAAACTTTTGTAAATGCCACAATGTACTCCCAGCACAAGAAAGCGAAGGAAAAAAAATGATAAACCTCATGTTTTGTATGAATCAGTACAACTGCAATTTTTAAATTTTTAAACGTTCTCTGGAACATAAAAAGAACAAAGTTCTAATGGAGTAAGGCACTGTCTGGAGATCCTGAGCAGTCAACCCTTCTGCACATGGAAGGCACTGCTGAGCTCCTTTTTCCTCTAAAGCACTCAGCTTTCCAGGCCCATAAGGAGAGGCACCAGGTCTGGCTGATCCTACACATCCACAGCGGCCTCAATCCAGCTTTCTCCCCTGTGAATGTGACAGCAAAACAGCAGCTGTGGTGAGAGAGACCCAGAGGCGCCATCTGAAGAGTGGGCTGAGCAGGAAAGGAGAGGATGAGTGCAGGCACAGGGAAGAGGGCATGGGGCACAGTGACCATTCTCCTGACTTTATCCTACTGGGAGTTCAGTGGGCTTCACGGGTGGACATGAAGGACTTTTTCATCAAATCTGAGTCAGCTTCACCCAATATTTCTTCAAATACATTTTTGTAACTGTTGACAGTCCTATCCTCACCTTATGGACCTCTCTTTACATACACATAGAGTCCCACAAGTCCAGACCCATTTCTTTTTCTTCCTTCTTTTTTTTGTACACAAAGTACTGAGGCAATTGCACATTTATCAGTAAAAACTTCACAAGACCAGCCCAACAACCCTCCCTGCACAGTGGCTCAGCTCAGACACAGATGCTTCTGCTCTTGGCCATGACAGCAAAGCTATGATCAGCTTGGTGTGGTCCACTGAGACAGGGGCCAGAGGGGAGCACCAGGGAGCTCATGGAGGAAATGCCTGCCAAAATTAAGTAGTCCTCAGGAATTCCTGGGAGAGTGAGGACCTGAGCCTTGTGCAGGTGATAGTCTAGCCCTAGAGAATGTCTTAATAGGTAAAAGGACAATTATCTACCACAAAAATATGATATTACTGTTAAAGAGATAAGAAATCATCTGTGCAGGATGCACATAAAAATAACCAACTGCTTTAGGGGTAGCATTGTGATCTATCATCTTTGCTTTTTTGTTAAATAACTTTATACATTTTATTTAACCAAACATGCTAGCATTCAGCTATTTAATTAATCACTACAACATTGCTGAATATAATTATATTTTACCAGCTGGAGATAACAGGATAGGGATAATATTATTGCCAGGCAATAAGATCTTCCATGATGATCACCCGTTCCTGGAGCAGAAAATAAAAATAAAAACATACTTGACAAAGTCCACATTTGGTGTATGTAATGACTGATCCAACAGATGCAAAATCAGAATGTCCAGTTTGAAATAAGATTCCAGAAGTCTCCTCACATCTATATTAAATTATAAAAGAGCCTAGAGAGGTAATCTAAAATGTCAGGATGACTGTATACTAAGCAGAAACATATTCAAAGATTTACAGTTAAAGCTAACACTCTCCAAGACCTGCATACAGAGAACTGCCAGACAAACAAACTAAGGATGGAATTCTTCAGGGGTTGGATGCCAGGAGTGGAAGAGCTTTGCCTGTATCATGGTCTTCACTATGGGACCAGATTGCCAGGACACATGAGACAAGAGTGAGGAGAGGGGGACTCAGATGAGTAGCAAAGCTTTCTTTCCTCCCTCCGTCCTTTTTTTCATGCACCTAACAACCTTCATAATCAGGTGTTTTGAACTTTTGAAATTTCAAGAAGTTTAGAAAGCACTGGCTTTATCAGAATGACCTTTAATCACACAGAGAACTCAAATCCTTTCTTCTGTGGATCCATCCTCTGAAACTCCCCTATTCTGTTATTTCTTTATATACTAACACTGTCACCACCATCCCAGTATGACATCATCCTCAATCTATCCTTCATTCAATCCCAATAATTTGATATTGCTTAAAATTATCAGGCAGTTTTGATGATGATCACCAAATGGTTAGTTGTCTCCTAAGAGAGACTAGTGCTTGCCACATTTGAAGTAAAAACAAAACAAAAATATTATGGGCTCTTCAGTGAAAATATGTTCTATAAAAGTTAAGACTGGAAGGAGAGATACTATTTTTGGAAATAGGCAATTATCTAATTACAAATTCAAGACCAGATTTGAGGCGGGACCATATCAAAACTGTTGGAGGACTGATCAAGGAGAAGAGGGCATCATTTCTACTAAATACCAAGGCCCACCCAATAATCTCTTCCTCCCTTCTGGGAGTCCATTGCTCCTCCCTGGTGAATGTGGTCATGCTCACCACCAACTGCCTAGCAATGTTCTTCTTACAACACTCATCACATAGACCAATGTGGGAGGGAAGACATATGACAAAAGCTACCATCTTGAACATTACAAACTCAGGAGGAAATTAATGGTCACTGACACTACCCTGCCACCTTCACATTAGGGATAAAAAATTAGAAGGAATACTAGCCAAGTTATGGAAACAGCCAAGATGCCCCACCACTGACAAATGAATTAAGAAAATGTGGTATCTATACACAATGGAATTTTATGCAGCCATGAAGAAGAAAAATGTTATCATTCGCTGGTAAATGGATGGAATTGGAGAACATCATTCTGAGTGAGATTAGCCTGGCCCAGAAGACCAAAAATCGTATGTTCTCCCTCATATGTGGACATTAGATCAAGGGCAAACACAACAAGGGGATTGGACTATAAGCACATGATAAAAGCGAGAGCACACAAGGAAGGGGTGAGGATAGGTAAGACACCTAAAAAACTAGCTAGCATTTGTTGCCCTTAACGCAGAGAAATTAAAGCAGATACCTTAAAAGCAACTGAGGCCAATAGGAAAAGGGGAACAGATACTAGAGAAAAGGTTAGATCAAAAAGAACTAACCTAGAAGGTAACACCCACGCACAGGAAATCATTGTGAGTCAACTCCCTGTATAGCTATCCTTATCTCAACCAGCAAAAACCCTTGTTCCTTCCTATTATTGCTTATACTCTCTCTACAACAAAATTAGAAATAAGGGCAAAATAGTTTCTGCTGGGTATTGAGGTGGGGAGAGAGGGAGGGGGTGGAGTGCGTGGTAAGGGAGGGGGTGGGGGCAGGGGGGAGAAATGACCCAAGCCTTGTATGCACATATGAATAATAAAAGAAAAAGGAAAAAAAATTAGGAGAAGAGTGGCAAGGACCACTCTATACCTGGTCAGACTCCTGGAGAACATGTACCAGCTCCTGTTCTTTGTGATGGTTGTCCTGCCCTTCAGTCCTGAAGCAGGTAAGTGATCCCCATCACCAGAGGTCTGGCATATGGCAGCACTGACACTTCCACAGTGTCCCTCTCAAGCTGTCTCTACTCAGCTTCCTTCACCTTCACCTTCTCCCACACTGCTGAGTCACTCAGCTCTGCCAGAACATTGACCCCAAACTTAAGTAAGCCATCAGAATGTGACCTCATCTCTGCTCCACAGCCTAATGGGGATGAGCTCCCATCCAGAACCCAAAGCCCATTTCCCCATCTCACTCTGATTGCCTATTCCTTCTGTGCTCTACACTCTTTATCCTGAGGGCTCAATGCCTTAGGGAGTTAAGTCTGAGCCATGGTTCAGATTACATTAGGAATTTTCCTCCCCAGCTACAGGCCACAGCACATTTGAAAAGTGATCCCTGTATCTAACAAAGTTTTGTGGATATTTACTATGTACTCTTACTCAGAATTGGAGAGAAAGAAGCCAAACTATTCTGCCCCAAGAGGATATCACCTTCACTTCTTCAAAAGCAGCCCAATTCTGGAAGTCAGCAGGTCCCCCCGGTGTCTGAGAAGCACTAGGCAAAGAAGCAACTATGGTCAGTCAGCATGTATATTCCAGGACTTCTGGAAGTTTGTACTGATTTCAGATAATTTCCCTTAACATGTATGTGGAGCTTATTTGATTCAGAACAAAAGTTGAGCTTCCTATCTCTGCTAGAAGAAATTGAAAAACCCTGATAGAGTTCAACCATGCTGCAAGCCCACCATCTGCCACAAAAGCCAGGACCCTTTCTCAGTGTGCGGCAGTTCCTATTAAGACTCTTTTTCCAATCCCTGTCCAAGTCCACGGACTCTACCAGCTTGAAACAATCTGTCACCCAGCTATCATCTTTTTCCTCTGGTTTCTAAGAATATAGAAATCAAGAACAAACTTTCTCTTTCAGGAAAAATCAAATGGGGTAGGGAGGTCACACCCCACTCTCAGCCTTACATGGCATTTGTAAAGTTCTACGATCTCCAGTTAGCCAAGAAGCGCTGCGGTGCTTTCCTGGTGCAAGACAACATAGTAATAATGACAGCTGCTCACTGTAATGGAAGGTGAGAGGAAGGAAATTGGTCTTTGTTATTCTGGGACTAGCGAAGTGACAATAGCTCAGGAATGTCTGTGACCACATAGGATCAAGGGCAAATGAAGATCCACCCACTATTGCCCTAGTTGGCCCAAAATGAATGTGGGATACAGGACTGGAGGGTGTGGGAGAAGGGACTGAGTGCAGGGGAAGCTTCTGGAGACACAGCATTGGCTCATTGCTGCACAGCAAAGAAGAGTCACACAGTCTACATTTGGTCCAAGGCAGGACACACTTTTTTCTGGGACTTCCTGGCAATTTGACTCAGCTGCTGCTCTAGCTTAGGCTGAGCTTTCTATCTGACTTTCAGAGACTGTTTTAGCTCCTAAAACAGATGCTATCCATTTTATCTTCACAGCAAAATAAATGTCACCTTGGGTGCTCATGATATCAAACAAAAAGAAAACACCCAGCAGGTCATTCCTGTTGTCAAAGCCATCCCTCACCAGAACTATAATATTAAAACAAAGGTCAATAACATAATGCTAATGAAGGTAACATCTTGCTGACTTCTAATTTACCTACACAGGTCACTGGGAAGCACTCAGCTTACTCATGGTCTCAATCCTCTCCTCTGAGTGGCTGATTTATTGGTCCCAGTGCAATAGAATGGAGCTTGGGAGGTGTTCCAGGCAGGGGCAGTAAACACAACCTCAGCCCTGGTTTGAGCATTGAATAGAAGGCCAGGCCTCAATTGCTATGTTTCATCTTTCTCACCAGCTAAAATACAAGGCTCAACTCAATGCATATGTGAACACCATCGCCCTGCCAAACAGCCAAGACTGGGTGATACCTGGGCAGGTGTGCAGTGTGGCAGGATGGGGGAAACTGTCTAATGGTCAACTTGCTGAAACTCTTCAGGAAGTGAACTTAAAAGTTCAGAATGAGCAGAAGTGCAGAAACATCTTTCCAAACTACAACAAGTCCATCCAACTGTGTGTGGGAAACCCTAAGGACAAGAAGGCTACTGATAGTGTAAGACACAACCCTAACCAAATGTTTGGTAATTAACAGAGTGATGGTGAAGACAGATAGGCCTTCTTCCACCCCATAGCTACTGCTAATCTAGAATGTACTTGAGAGAGGGAACATAATGTTCCTAGCCTATGAGAATGGGCTTTATCCTCCAGCTAATCTCTTGGTCATTGTCCATGAAGAAATGAGAGGAGAGCTCAGGTATGAGTTGAGTGGAGAGAGGACCTGCAGCCAGATGAAGGCCCTAAGTCCAGCTGGATCACAGAACTTGCCTCCAACTCAGGTCCTAGATTAATGGCAGCCACTCAACACTTCCCCTCTGAAAGTCCATGCTCTTAATGAGGACAGAGGAGGACAGGTAGAAAATTAGCCTGTTGTGGGGAAGAAAAGAGGGGTCTGTGCTGAAACACAAAGGGTGATTCCAGGGGACTGTTTGTGTGTAACAATGTGAGCCAGGGTATTGTCAGTTATAAATGTCACAGTGGGAAACTTCCTCAGGTCTTCACAAGGATCTCAAGCTTTATGCTCTGGATTAAGAAAACAATCAAACAGCTTAAGCATCTCTAGAAGACAGACCCTGTGTTCTGGGCCAGTGTCCACATCCTGTGGTACAGTTTTCTGACTTCTAATAGAGAAACCAATCTTCAGGAGAAAACTGACTTCTCTCTCTTGCTTTCTCCTTGCATATATTCTCTTGACAAGCTCTGTGCACCAGCATTTTCTCCACTCCCTTCTCCTCCCATTCTGGTTACTATCTCCAAACACATCTCACAGAGCCTCCAGTTCACATCTGTGTACTGACACCGTCCTACCAACATGTATAAAGGGCAGGACTCTCTGACTGATCCTTTGGTCTGGGTCTTTGTCCAGGGGGGGTCTCTGAAAGACGTTTTTCTCTCCTTTCTAAATTCTCATTCCAACCCAACAGGTTGAGAAAGAGAGAAAGATCAAAACCCTCACTTCCCATTTCACTTCTGCTGCAAGGAATTGGCAAGGTCCCTGGAGGACCAGTCTTCACCTCACCCTACTCTGCTGCTCCCAGTTCCAGAAAGGCTTCTCCTCTAGGCTGCTTTCCTACCAGAGTCCTGACTACCATATTCCCTTATCTATCATGCAGGGGTCATAAGAGATGTCAGAGAACAGGCCAAACCCAATCAGAAATGTTAGAGCAGCAGTAACATGTGTGTTTCATTTCTACTGTATGTTTGACACACTTCCACCGCAACAGGGCCATCTCAGCATTTCTCATCCATCACAGTTTACTCAAGAGTCCTGCTGTGGGTTCTGAGTCACACTGCCATCACTTCAGTGGCTTCCACCTCATTCATTCAGTGCACTTGGTCATAGCTAGTATCCAAGAATTGAATAAAGTCCCATTCTCACCACTGGTCACTATCAATGGTGGCCTCCTGTGCCAAAGATGAAGCCTGTGGAACAGGATTGAAGCTGATTGCCACAATCATTAACCACTTTTTAAATGAAAGTCTTGAGACACAGCAGGGAAAACAAACATGACTAGTCCCTAAGCAACTGGGACAGGTTCTTCGGGACCTAACTCCCTGTACCATCTGAAAGTCTCCATCCTCCACTTTGGCCACTGTATACATCCCTGCCCAAGTAACACAGGAAGATCAGAAACCACAGACTTTGTTTCTAAGGCCAACCTTGTCCTGTGAGCATGACAAACTTCACTCATACCTAATGCAGCTTTCTTCATAACCAGGGGTGTATCAAATGATAGTGCAGGTGTGTGGTGGCTACCAACTTCCTGCAGATGTAACTTTGCACCTGGGGAAGAAAGTTCAGATTCCCAACCCACTGGCTCCATGCACAGGGCATCCATTCCTCACATTCCCTCACTAAAGCTATGGAGTCAGGGAGCAACTTATGCCTCTGGTTGCCCAGGGCCCAGGGAGTCATGTAGAATCCATCTGAGAGCAGTTGTGTGGGTGTGGATAGTTGAACATAAGACAGGGATATTGAAGGCTGGGGATGTGTGACAAAGGAAGGCATCTATCACTTCTACAAGGGACATCAAGACAGTACTAACCTTGAGGTCAGTAGGGAGCCATTGAACAAATGGAACCAGAATGCAAAGGACCTGGGCTTCCCCAAGCTTGAGAGAAACAGTTATATGGCTCATTAGTGCTTCTCCAAAAAACAGAGTGCTGAGAGGGAGAGGACATTGAAGATGTCAGCACCACAGGCTCTCACCACTGCACATCACCCACTTCTGCACTTGCTTCCTGCTCACCCAACACCTTGAATGCTACACCACCCTAGTAAACAAAACTTGAAACAAAATATTATGTTTCACACTTGACATATAGAAATTCAAAATCATTGTAACATTTTTCCTATTAGAGACCTGCTTATATAGAGATTTAACCTTAAACTTAGCCAAAATAGACAAGAAACACTAGATAAAATAACGGAAATAGTGATAATTATGCACGTGCATGTTATCACTTTAACATAAGCATTTAAAATAGGCATGCGTTTAAATGGTTGCACTCTTCTGTATTATTTCCTTTTGGGGTTTTATGGGAGGTAATACTGGAGTTGGAGCTCAAGGACTTGCCCTACCACTTGAATAACACCCCCGGCTCTATATGCATTCAGTTTATTTTCCTTCCCAGGGCAGAACTCAAACCATTATCCTTCTACCTCTGCCTCCAGAGTAACTGTCATTATAGGCTTGCACCAGCAAACCCAGCCCTATTATTTCCTTTTGACAAGTATATTATGCAATTGTTGAAACAAATAAATAATTGTATTGTTTTCTGTGGCCTAATGTAAATAATTATAACAAATTGTTGAGATGTGTGACAGAAGTATAACAATATTTCATTTCTTTCTCTTGTGTAGCAATTTGCTTTCTCTTTTTATTGATTTATTAGTATATTATAGTTGTACCACAGGTACATTGTGACATTTACAAAGTGCTTACAATGTATCTTAATAAGATTCACCTCCTCCACCTTTCTCCTTTATTTCCCTCCCCCCCCCATTCCAATTTAGAATGGAACACATATGCACAGGAAAGCAATGAGAGGAATTTCCCTGTATAGTTATCCTTACCTCAACTAGAAAAAACTCTTGGTCCTCCTTATTAATGTTTATACTCTCTCTTCAACAAAATTAGAGATAAGGGGATAACAGTTCCTGCTCAGAAGCAAGGGGATGGGAGAGAGAGAGAAAGGGGGAGCAGGGGGAAGGGAGGAGAAATGACCCAAACATTATATGCACATATGAATAAAAGAAAAAAAGGGGGGGCAACAGTAAATATTGACTCTCTTATTTGTCTTCTTACTTCTGTCCCAGCTCTGGAAATAAAGGAGAAACTTACACCAAGCAACCTTTTTAATACAGCTGTCATATTCACTGTCCTTTCAGTACCACTCTACTTTCCTCCAAGTCAATGCCCTTCAACTCTTCATTGGCTCCGTCTATATATTTGAGAGTTTATTTATCTCAAAATATCTTCTTTTGTGAGACGTCACCTTGCAGCCTGAGACAAGACTTCCTAGACACAGCCTCAAGCTGAACTTAACCTGTCAGGTATTAAGAAAACCAGACAAGTAGATCTTGTCCTCTGACCTACTGAGCAGTTCAGTAGATGTCAGGCCTATGGGTTTGGCTGCTGGAAGCAATGCCACAGGTATTTCCATTGCATAGGCTTGAGCTAAGGATAGTGAGTTCTGTAGAAAAGAGAGAGGAGAACACCCATGTGAGGAAATCTCCCCTAAACGGAGTTGTTCATTCTTGGGAACAAGAACTGAGGCCCTCAGAAGGCTCCAGCCTCTTTCAGGCCACCTTAGGAAGTCCCTTCCCCCATGAAGAAGAAATTTGCTCTCATCTCTTTCTTATCTTCCAAAAACTTCCAAAAGTGTGGGACCCAAGCTTCTCTAACGGATTGGAAAGGACTCAGGAGAACGTATGAGAAAACTACCTCCTGGTGGACTCATCCTGTGTTAGATTAGAAGGATGGATTCAGTAGACTGTGAGTCATCGCTTTGCCACTTCCCCAGCTCTCCCTTGTTTTTCCTACTTTCCCTCTGGTTTCTATGCTTCACACAGTCCCCACTGTGCACAGAGTTTTCCTTCAACCTCTTAGGGTTGCTTGCTATAGAAGATAATGGCCAATTATGAAACATGAGGTAACATCATACTCACCTCATGCATTTATGTAACAATCTCTTGTAAATCCAAAAAGACACAAAGTAAAATGGTGTCACTGTGACATATTGTCACACAGGTTCACAGTTTCAATTTGGGAAAGGGAAAAAAATATCTAAGGCAGATGGTGATGACTGTTGTACAATGTGCATATACTTAATGTTACTGAAATACACAAATGAAAATGTTCGGATATTGCAATACAATTGCATTTTAAAACTTTTAAACAACCTCTGAAAATATAAAAGGAATAAAGCTCTAATGGAGTAAGGCACTGTCTGGAGATCCTGAGCACTCAGCCCCTCTGCACATGGAAGGCACTGCTGAGCTCCTTTTTCCTCTAAAGCACTCAGCTTTCCAGGCCCATAAGGAGAGGCACCAGGTCTGGCTGATCCTACACATCCACAGCGGCCTCAATCCAGCTTTCTCCCCTGTGAATGTGACAGCAAAACAGCAGCTGTGGTGAGAGAGACCCAGAGGCGCCATCTGAAGAGTGGGCTGAGCAGGAAAGGAGAGGATGAGTGCAGGCACAGGGAAGAGGGCATGGGGCACAGTGACCATTCTCCTGACTTTATCCTACTGGGAGTTCAGTGGGCTTCACGGGTGGACATGAAGGACTTTTTCATCAAATCTGAGTCAGCTTCACCCAATATTTCTTCAAATACATTTTTGTAACTGTTGACAGTCCTATCCTCACCTTATGGACCTCTCTTTACATACACATAGAGTCCCACAAGTCCAGACCCATTTCTTTTTCTTCCTTCTTTTTTTTTGTACACAAAGTACTGAGGCAATTGCACATTTATCAGTAAAAACTTCACAAGACCAGCCCAACAACCCTCCCTGCACAGTGGCTCAGCTCAGACACAGATGCTTCTGCTCTTGGCCATGACAGCAAAGCTATGATCAGCTTGGTGTGGTCCACTGAGACAGGGGCCAGAGGGGAGCACCAGGGAGCTCATGGAGGAAATGCCTGCCAAAATTAAGTAGTCCTCAGGAATTCCTGGGAGAGTGAGGACCTGAGCCTTGTGCAGGTGATAGTCTAGCCCTAGAGAATGTCTTAATAGGTAAAAGGACAATTATCTACCACAAAAATATGATATTACTGTTAAAGAGATAAGAAATCATCTGTGCAGGATGCACATAAAAATAACCAACTGCTTTAGGGGTAGCATTGTGATCTATCATCTTTGCTTTTTTTTGTTAAATAACTTTATACATTTTATTTAACCAAACATGCTAGCATTCAGCTATTTAATTAATCACTACAACATTGCTGAATATAATTATATTTTACCAGCTGGAGATAACAGGATAGGGATAATATTATTGCCAGGCAATAAGATCTTCCATGATGATCACCCGTTCCTGGAGCAGAAAATAAAAAT